TGTTGGGGTTATATTGAGGCTATATTGGGGTTATATTATTGTGATGAGGAAGCTCCTGGAGCTTTAGGCTGGTCCTCCTGCTACCGGTACAGTGCATGCAAGCTTTGAGCAGCTGACACCTTCTGATGTAGCCTTTCTCGACGCACATGCAGGTGTTAGGCGGATCTCTCGGCAGTGGTGAAGCCACCAGAATTGTTATCCCTTCCTTCTGGACTTTGAAAAATATTCCGACCCAGACAAATACTTTTGTGCGCCATTTCCGTGATGCAGTTCAGTCCTGCCAGGGAGAGAGTCATTCAGCCGCATGGTGCGAGGATGTGCATATAGGCAGTGGTGATCCATGATTCGGGCTGTCGAGCCCTCACTGTGGATTGCGGATGATCCTGGTTGAGCCAGCCCAGCATTGTCCAATCATGCGCTGCTCCCGCTGCGGATTGCACGAGCAGAGCTGATTGCGATACTCCCCTATGCCCACGTGCATGGCTACCAGACGACCCCCCGTGACTTGCTGTGATTCTATACAGCTGATGTTGAGCAGAATCGGCCCCAGAGCTTTAGTAGAGGGTAGAGGGGATAGTCTGCTTCTGAAATCAGAGACCTGCTTGAACGTATTATCTGCTGGAAAGTAGTCTACTCAATCCTGTCGCTACCTTGAAAGCGCCTCTGCACGTGCAAGCGAAAAGGGATCAGGTCCTCAGGCTCGCGCAACCAAGCCAGAAACGCCTAAGGAGAAAAGGTTGCAAGCAGGATTGGCATTGTGTTGGAGGGTTTGCCGAAATTAGGGGTCTCATTCAGGGGGTCCTTATAGTTAGCCAAGATCATCGTGTATTGTTTTTCGTGTTGGGCCCCGTATTTCTGAAAACCCCTTTATTCAGAAGTGAGGCATGCTGGTATTCTTGTGACATGCTCATGCCGTTGATGGTTTGCGGGTTGCTGCTTCCTTGCTCTGATGGCAGTGCTGGTGGGATTTTGGATGTTTGGTTTACCATGTTTACCATGCAGGTCTCAGGGCTTCCAGATCTGTAGGCCAATGTCAGGTGACCTAAGGCATTCTTGACAAAGGAGAGATGCTTCATCCGCCTTGAACTCAGGGCATGTCGCTTAGTCTGATGGTTCCTCTGGGACCGCGTTTTGCTGCACTTCTGCTGGTGAAGAGCAGAGGGCAGGAGCGGAACAAAACGTTATTCCATGCAAAGCCAACGATTTTGATTTCAAAGCTCTGTACCTTCCATGCGTACCCACAGCTCATACTGTACCTTAGTGAATTAGCGAAATCTTACCACCCAGCCAGAAGCTCTACTACAAATCCCTTGCACCAAGCCCCTTTCACCAAGGAACAGTCAGATCCTACTGCTCACTATGATCTGAACCTGGAGCATCCGCAGCATCGGGCGCTGCTGCGTATGCTTCTCAGGCAGCTTGTTCGCTGTAACATCAATTGGAAGGCACAGCGCTCTCATGTATCAGCGAAACTAGTTATATCAATTTGCGTCAATGTGTTCGGCAGCGTCAAACTGCAGACGTGTTTGCATTCAAGCCAAGGCTCGACCAAACTTGTGAATTCCCAGCATGGTCCCTCAGGATTAATTAAGTAGAGTTGAACCACAGTTGTATTTACCGCACCGGCATGTGAAAGCCCCTCCTTTAACAGGTCCAAACAAACGTGACATCAATTCGCTCAATGGAGGAGCTGTACTACGAAACTGCAGCCTTCAACCCTGTACCCCATTTGGCCAGATGAGTGATGTGCTGAAGTTGCTAGAACAAGATTTCCTGCAATACAGAACGAGAATCCGAAAGCGAGATGACAAAATGTTTTGCAGACCAATACCCGGATCTTACTTGGAGCGTCAGGGGGACTGAGTACGAAGGTTAGTAATGGCTTGTAGGGGTTATAAGTGTAGTTACTGAGTCACCCCGACCCTCCAAGCAATGCGCTCGAAAGGAGATGCCAAAAGCTAACGACTCCGGTGCATGAGCTCTTTTCCTTTGAGGATTCATGGGCTTGAAATGCATGGTCCAAAAGAGTGCTGCTCAGAGGTAGCGGGCTGTTACCCTCTCGGTGGGTCCGTTTGCCAAGTCTTCCCTAACCACCAGCTGCATTCCTGCTTCAGATCATGCAGATGAGGGCGTGGTTTCTCTGTGGATTGGGATCAGGGGCTTCAGGATTCGGATCAAGGATGACCGGAGGATCGTGATGACACCTTTTGTGAAGTCTTCTTGGATCAGCCAGCATTCAATGCGGTCTCACGAATCCGGTCTGGAATTCGGAGGTCTATATTGCGGGTCCTTTTATTAAGCGAAACTGCTTAATACTTTCACTGAACGTCCCTTCACCTCATGACTACGCCCCCCAGAGAGCCACACAACTCCAAGAGTGAGATCCTTGCAAGTGCTACGCGGAGCCCATCTGAGATGCATACATATATGGGGCTTTCCCAAACCTAGAGTTACCATTTTGGAGGTCCTTAAGGACGGTAGTATGTTGGGGTCTATATTGGGGTCCCTCCACTTTGGGAAACTACCACATATGTGTATATACACACACACACACATATATATATATATAGACACACGGAAAGTCGTCAGCACAATAGTCCCTTTTGAGGTACAAGAGCTATAGGGGCCACATCACACCAGGGACACCAAAAGAGGTCACAATTTGAAAGCCCACCATCACACTGATTCCAAGACCCCTATATACACCTATATACATATTCCAAGTGTCCATTTCATTCTATTGTACATGTTCTTTCTCATCTGGTTCTCCATTGTTGGAGTGCTATCCCCAAAAGCCTGGGTTTCTGTTTTGTTTTCCATTTGGTTCTCCATTACTGGGCTGATATCCCTGCCCCTAAACCCTATGTAGCTACATAGGTCCATGGCTGGGGTAATGTCCGCAAACCCTGGACCTCAAGCCCTATGTGACGACATGGTAATAGGGGCCTTGTATACTCTAAACCCTATTTAGCTACATAGGAGCCCCCTGGTATACCCAACCCCAAACCCTAAACCCCAATCCTACACACGAAATCCTGAACCATAAGCCCTAAACACGAAATCCTAAACCCTAAATCCTAAACACAAAATCCTATACCCTAAATTCTAAACCCAAAACCCTAAATCCTAAACCCAAAACCCTAAGCCCTAAACCGCGATAGCATGGAGAGCTTTGCAGGAAAGAGGTGAAGAGATACTCCAAGGCTGGAGCAAGAGCCAAACAGCCTGGAGCTAAGCTTGGAATCACGGGATAAGGGTGGGTTAAGGGTTTTGGGGTTGGATTAGGGGTTTGGGGTTTCGGGTTGGATTGGGGTTTTGAGTTTTGGGTTGGATTAGGGTTGGGTTTTGGGTTGGATTAAGCGTTAGGGTCTAGGTTTTTTGGGGTTGGTTCCCCTTTGGGCAGGGGGTATGAGGGGGATCCTTATTCATGGAAACTACCATCCATGCAAGCTTTCAGGGATTTAGGATTTGGGATCTAGTGTATTTGGATTTTGCTCTACATTGGGGATGACGGCATAGTCAGGTCTTTGCAACCATCTTCGTCCATTTACATCCGCCTTTCGTGTGAATGTAGCAATGTAGTAAAGCTCAGTTGCGAAATGGCTCGTCCAGTATGTTATTCAAACCTAAAGTACCTACATATACATATATAATTGTTATATATATATATATGATGGGAGGGGTAATATATATATATATATATTTATATAGAGGAACACCTTTCCTATTTGAGTACTTGGACCCTGAGGGTGTGGGCCTGACTTGCTTCATGCAACTTCGCCGGCATGAGAATCCTCCAGTAATGGCCAGAAGATTTGACAGCACGGTCACTATTATTACTTTTACTACTACTGTTTTTACTTTTACTACTATTATTATTACTATTACTATTACTATTACTATTACTATTACTATTGCTATTGCTACTACTACTACTACTACTACTACTACTACTACTACTACTACTACTGGCGTTATTACTGTATTACCACTACTCGTATTGACCAGCCGTGCAAAAAGATTCTGAGCCTAGCCGCGACAGGGCGAAATCTTTAGTTCAGCTTTGGCTTCGGGGCTTGGTCTACTAAATCATAAGCATCGGATCTCTAGGCAATTACGCCGGTGTTTCTGCAGTTTGATGGAGACTCTTCAGTCACGTAGTCGCGTAGAGCTTCAAAGATGCAACTTGCACTCGTCGCAAGACTACCGGCAACAGCTATGACTGCAAGATCTGGGCAAGAGGAAAGCACGGCTCATCTACTTGATTCGCCTGGAGGGGTAGCTTGCAAGCAACTGCTTTTGCAGTTTCTACCAGTATGGGCTATTAGACCCGAAAATTCCCTATGAGTACCCTAATTCGGGTAGGTTATATATAGGGGCCCTTTACAGTCTAATAGGTGTCGAGCGGCACCAGGGGCAATTTAGGTTCAGGGGTAAGGGATGCGAACCAGTATGAAGACCTAGTTTCTTGAGACTAATATAGTCCCAAAAGGCTGCAACTCTTGCTACTGGGACCCCCAAAAGGGGCCAAGAACTGTTGCAACCCCGAACCCTGTAATGATTTCCATGTTTTCCATGTTCTTTGCCATTCTCCATCTACCAGTATGGGCTATTAGACCCTAAACTTCCCTATTCGTACCCTAATACGGGTAAGGTTGAAAGGGCCCTTTAAGGTCTAACAGCCCATCCTGGTACAAACCCTAAACACCAAACCCCAAACCCCAAAACCTAAACCCAAGCCCTAAACCCTAAGACCTAAACCCTAAAACCTGAACCCCAACCCTAAACCTTGAACCCTAAACCCAAGCCCCAAACCCTAAACCTTAAACCCTAAACCCTAAGACCTCAACCCTAAACCCTAAACCCAATCCCTAAACCCCAAACCCTAGACCCTAAACCCTAGACCCTAAGCCCTAAAACCCTAAACCCCAAAAACCCTAAACCCTAACACCTAAACCCCAACCCTGTATGATCATCCCCGGGATCCTATTCGAGTCCAGGTTCCTCATTCCGGTCTTGCCTGCCAGATTTAGGGTTTAGGGTTTAGGATTTAGGGTTTAGGGTTTAGGGTTTAGGATTCAGGGTTTAGGGTTTAGGATTGATTTAGGGTTCGCGGTTTGGGTTTTACCTGGAGCCCAAGAGTAGCAAAATAATAGCCCAAAACACCCTAAAACATCCCAGAAAGGCTGTTGTTCTATATACTTTTGGGGTTCAGGTAGGGTTTAGGGGTCGAGAGGGTAGGCTTCAGGATCAAGGGTTGTAATGTAATGTATCATAGGGGCCTAAATAGTTGCCAAAAGTACGTGTCTAGATTACTTGTGTCGTTGTGGTCTACGGTACCCCGGGTAGACTTCAACGTGATACTTGTTCAGGCCGCTACAGTGGTGGGAAAGGATTTAGGATGTTTGCAATCAAGAACGAAAGTTAGGGGATCGAGGACGATGAGATACCGTCCTAGTCTTCATCATTAACCGTGGCAATTTAACTTTGCAAGTAGTTATGCATACGACTCTTTCGACACCATATGAGAAATCAAAGTCTTTTGGTTCCGCGCGGAGTAAGCTTGCAAGGCTGAATCTTACAAATGGCACTGACACATGGGCACCCCCAGGAGGGGGAGCCTGCGGCTTAACTTGACTCAACGCAGGGACACTTACCAGCTGCAGACATAGCACGCATTACTTCCTCTCTCTTTGTTGATTTTCTGAGAGCAGCTACAGTGATCTAATTGCAGCTTTACAGTTTGTTTGTGAAGCCTTCTCAACTTAGGAACAGCCGGCATGCGCATTAGGTCGGCAGAGGAAACCATCGCAAAGTTTGGAGCCCCAAAATGCATTTCTTAAAGGGTTGCTGGTATGCCAGGATTCGTAAGCTTCGCCTTTCGATTTCCAATGGAGTGCCGCACTGAGATGTCAAGGGTCTTTGCGAGTCCTAACAGGGTTTCTGTCATCTGGATTTAGAAGCGGTGTTAAGTCCCGAGCGCCCTTGCACAAGATATGACAGCTAACATGGCTGGGCGAAGGAGGAGCGTCGGCAACTTTCCTCTTGCTCCACAGAATGTCCGCAGATCATCTCAAACCAGCGCGTCCGTTGCCACTTCAGTCTTGAAGGTGCCGGCTAGCAACCTACTTTGTCCTACTTCAACCAGAGCGGCACAAATTGAATTTCGGATGCGTCCACCGGTGCATTGGACGATGCGCGGAAAAGGTTTGCAGAAGAGAGAGAGGTCTCAGAGCTTTGCGTAGGGTATGAGAACCGCGTCTTTGCCAAAGCCACATGAATAGAACAGAGTTGGAGAAAAGCAGAGTTGTGCGCAAGAGGAAATCAGAATTGTTCGTGGAAAGTTCGCTGAGGGACAGCTACGCACTAAGTTTGACAACCATAGGATGCTCTGGTCCATATATATATGTATATACCTATATGTATGTATAGGGATCATATAATAAGGATAATGGAAAAGAAAATGGAAACCACTATTTAGGGTTTAGTGTTTTGGGGTGTCAGCAGCTCTTCAGAGCTTCTTGCTCACGCAGCTGTCTGCGCCATGCACCCCCACCCCTGTTCGCAGGATGCATATCCCCTACACGTCCCCTTTTTAAAGAGCAACCGAGCAACCCCCTTCTGAAGAACCTGGCCTCGAAGGGCAGCTCCGAAGGAGGGCCACGTGGCAGCCAAGCCTCCCTCTGCGTGGCCACTCACGCTACTATAGTATAATAGGGTATATATTGGGCTTATATAGGGGTTATATAGGGATAATGGAAAAGAAAAAGGAAACTACTACAGTATACTGCCGCAGCTCTATCAGCTCCTGTCATGTCAGTATCAGGCTTCTCCTGGTCGCCTTTCAGTCCTCTACATTCTGCACCCTTTTACGACACCCTTCGAAAAAAAAATGCTGCATTGAGTCTGGTGGCTTATGCAGACGAGTCGATTGGTCCTGCTTCCTCAGCCTCGGAGACCAAGACCTCCAACACCGAAGGCCAGGGAATATCGCACCCTAACAAGGTCAGTCCCTGCCCTGTGGCAGGATTTCAAAGTTATGAGACGTTGTTTCTTATGATGCAGAAAGAATCAGAGGAGCCCAGCTTGCAACATCCTCCACCTCCGAACACATCACTTGTCATGGTAAGGCGAAACCTGCACAGCTTTACATGTTTGGGTGATTTGAGGCAGTTCCTGTTATTAAGCTTCAAGATTCAAGATTCTGCATGACCTTAGTATACCACAATAGCGTTATCCCAATGGTATAAAGTACTCAGGGTCAAGCAAGATTGGTGGTATCAATGATAAGGAGGCTATATCGTAATCCCGACCCATCTAATGAGGACACCATAAAGCCAGAGTCATAACATGTTAGTTTGGAGGCATGGGGTTGCCCAGATCCACCTGGTAATCAACAGCAGTATATATATATATATGTATGTACCTGCAACCCAACAAGTATGTACTTGTAGAATAATGGCCTTTTGGGCTGTTTTATGGGGGTGGTGAGGCTGTTGTTTAGCCTATCTCTGGGGTCCCGGGAAGCCTTATATAACCCCTAATCGGGTTTAGGGTTGAGGGTGCGCATATATAACCCCGCTTAAGTAGATAGAATATGGTATATATGGGGACCTTATTCTAATAGACCCAAAGCCATATTCTATCTACTTAAGGGGGACTATATAACCCCCTAAACCCTAAACCCCCCCCCCGCCCTAATCACGAGTCGCACGTGACCTGTGCTCTACTTGAGGCTGGGATCTGACCAGGATGCTACCACCCTCATCTCGAGGCCTGGGCTTGGGGTTTAGGGTTTAGGGTTTAGGTTAGGGAAAATAATGGTAGTCATCTGGGTAGTCCCCTGAAATATTGAATATTTTCCCTAATGGCTTTAATAAGGGACCCTATATACTCATTTTTTCAAAGGGCTTTAGGGGCCAATCCAGTCATAGCCCTAAGAGTAATAGTAGCAATAATGATTATAGCAAAAATTATGAGTTTATGTAGTACTTCGAATAATGGTCATAATGGTTTTGATATTCAGTGTTCCTTCTCTCGGTAGGGTTCTCCGAACCCGCGCTCCTCGGTCGCGCTCCTCGGTCGCGCTCTTCGCCTTCCAGCCACTAAAGGGAAGTGGGTGGGGGGCGGGGGTGGTAGTAACGTACAGCACCACGTTAGGAACGATGCGCGGATATACGGTCGCACATGTGGAAAGATGTAGCAAGCGCTTCTTCACACAGGAGAGGCACATGCCTCATCACATGCACTTAATTCTAAGTGGGTTTATTTCAGGAGTTTAGAGTTTAGAGTTTGAGGTTTATGGGGTTCAGATTTTCAGCCTGCAATCCTGTTCCATGCTTAATAACCTGCCGTAGTGTATCTCTGTAGTGGACCTATAGATACGCCCCAAGTAGAAAACGGTGTTCTGTGGGGAATATCTAGCATCAACGCGAGGAGGGTTACTATATGAGAGAGGATTGCCACTAGTTATCCGAAATCTTCTTCCCGGGGGGTCGCTTGCAATGATCCTTCTGCACACATCCCGCCCAAGTCTGGAAGAGCCTGCAAAGATAATCTTTCAGCCGCTGCTAAACCGGACCTGCTGGTCCGCCCACAGGCGTTCTGTTTCTAACCACAAGCGCGCACCCTCTCGGTGCTTCTTTCTTTCTTTCTTTCTTTC